CACGGATCAACCGATTTGAATGGTTCAAAAACATTCGATTCCTATTGATAGGAGAAGAGCTGATTAGTTTTTGGCTAAGGCAGGTCCAGCCGTTTCGGAGATACGGAGCAAAGAGTGCAGAAAATAGAAATCGACTTTTTGAGAGAACGGAGTATTCGATTTGAATGATCTAAAAAACATTCAATTAGTAATGATTGGGAGAGGTGTTTATTAGTTTTTGGCAAAGGCAGGCCCAGCCATTTCGAAGATACGGAGCTAAATATGTAAAAAATGGCAGTTTTTGAGAAAACTAAGCGTCAGATTCAATTGATTCAAAGAACTTTCTGCTTGTCTTAACCAAATAATTAATTTTGGGAAAAAAAAATTGTTTCAACTTTTTTTTTTTAAATTTTTTGTATATCGAAAATAATTCAGATTTTATTTTTAATTCTGACTATAGTTCTAATATACTTTATAAATAATTTCAACTCTGCAATTCAGTTTATATAATTCTTATAAATATTAGACAATGTTACAATATTTATAATAATCTATTTGAAAACATTCAGTATTCCTCGAACATTTCGTTACGGTACGGGAAGTTCCAGCAATTTGCCTTAAGGCACGTTGCCATAATTGCCTCAAGACAGAATTCCACTTACAGCTAGTTTAAGATTTTAATTGACACAATTTTGTTCATTAAATAATTTTCGTTAAAATGTTTATTTTTGAAGATATTTACAAAAAAAAACGAAGAAAAATGCCAAAAATATATGAATTTTTACTAGACAGTAACTTGAAAAGTATTTGTTTGTTTGAAAAACTTTATGAAACCATTTTTTGAAATCACCACTGAGAAGAGGTAACATTCTCCCGAGGGGGGCGACGGAGTCTAAATTATTTTCACTTTTGAACTTGAGAGTAAGATGAACCCAATTCCATAATTTCATGCAAATCGTAGCACAGTAAAAAAATCCGAACCAAAACGCTCCATTGACTAGAGTATATATATCTTCTTACCTATCGCTCTCTGGCATATCAGACGCATCCGAGTACCTCTGCTCCTGCTGCCCATAAATCGACCTCTCCAACTCGTTCTGCTGCTGCAGCAGGCTCTGCTTAACGGTGGGGCTTGCAGGAGGCACCGAATCCGCAGAGCAGGTGCTGCTAGCCTTCGACCGTCTCTTTGGAGGCAGCGCAGGAGGAGTCACAGACGTAGTTTGACTAGAATTACTAGTGGTGCTGGTGTTGGAGGCTTTCGGCGAAGGCGGTGCTAGATTTGTAGAACTCTGCGGCGAAATAGAACTTATCGAGTTTTTGGGCGTGGAGCAGGTCGATATCTCGATTTCTGTTGCAGCAGGAAGCGTTGATAGGTGACGCGACGGTGGTGGTTGACTGTGCCGGTAAGGTGATAAACTAGAACAAAAATGATGAGTGAAACTTCAAAACCATTATATCAGTGTCTTTTATTTATTTATTTATTTATTGAAGTAAAACTTCTTTAGGCGCGACATGGGTGTAAATCCGTACAAATGCAACGGAAATTGTTACGCCAAGCTGAAGTGAGAGTCATTCGCTCTCGATGATATGATTTCTATATGGGTCGATTTTTATTATCTTAAACAAACGTAAACAAAATTGAAATTCACAAGTACAAATATAAAAAAAATTATATACAACTACAACTATATTCAACTAAACAATAAAAACAATAAAATGAAACAATAAGTTTATTTTTTAAGCAATAATTTAACAAAAGTATATCTAATTTAATTAATTCATTATCACTATCGAGTATATTGAGTACTTTTCACCAAAAACAAACTTATGAGTAAGAAAGACCGAAAACTCATATAAAGATCATATTACATTATTATAATAAACTGTATTATCTGTGTCCGATGTGTTAAATTAGCATAATCTCTAATATTAAAATAAAAATAATGTAAAAAAGACCAAGAACTCATAAAAGATCATATTACATTATTATAATAAACTGTATTGTCTGTATCCGATGTGTTAAATTAGCATAATCTCTAATATTAAAATAAAAATAATTTTCTACATTAATTTAAGATCGGATTCTTTGTCGAGATAAATAATAAGTTACTATGATTGTTGAGTACTGTTATTCAAAACAATGTGATGCTTCTATAGTATTTTCAAACTTCGTTTTCGAAAAATAATATTTTATAAGAAGCAAAAATATTTAGTAATTATCATAATTATTATGTATAAAGTTAGAAAAAAATAAAGATTACGCAGAGGTAATCTGTATGATATAAAATATTTTGGCGCAAATATCACTTAAAAAATCGTTACATTTTTACAAAAGATGAAACAAACATCATTATCTATCATTCCAATTTTATTTATTGTAACACGATATGAAGCCCTTAGTAAAGCAATAAATATTCAGTTTAATGACGAGTTGAGATAATATTTGACATTTGTTTATCACATAGAATCACTTGAAGATATAGCTGTTTATGCGAATGTTTATGGAATTTAAAGATAAATCTGTTCCAAGAAATTTAAACTTTAGTGTATTATGTATCAAATAGCGCTTATGTAAATATACCAAAAATACCGGTATTTTGGGGTAAATATCGGTAAAAATACCGCCGAAAAATCGAACGGTTTACCGGTAATTCGGTATACCGGTATTGCATTCCCTAGTGCGTACGTCACCGAAAGCGTGCTTTATAGCATCGGAAGAATATTTTATCCCGTCCCCCATAAATAATTGTAGAGCAAATAATCGCAAATAATGAAACATATGAAAAATCTGCGCTGCGTAAGAAATGTAAGTTTATTGAAGTAATTTGTACTATTCGAGTTTTTCGAGTTTACTACATACCTTTGAGGTTATTACTAAAATGGAAAATATTTTTACAAAAGACAGATACTACAGTTGCTCACAGAATGAAACTGTATTGCCAGCGAAATAGTCAAAACAAACAAGCAGTCAATAATGAAGTTCTACAAACATAATTACACGAAAAGTGAAATTGTGAGAACAATATTTCTTTATTGGAAATTTAAAGAAAGTTTACATGTTTCTCTTTTATGATGGCTTTGAAGACTAATTTTAATTTGTTATAATAGTAATTATAAAATTGACGCAGGTTCAAAGCCTTTTACAAACTCTGAAAGATCAAGATTACATTGTCAAAGAAAACAACTGCAGGAAATTACATCGGTTACTGTCAATTTATTAAAAAATCTTGAGCCAGGTATCAATTTAGATGTTAATGTCAACACCATTGACATAAGTAAGAATCTCTTTTTGCTATTTAATCCTGAAAAACGCTTCGACTATTCACATTTAAACATATTATTCTGTTATCTTTTTAGATGAAAGTACTGCTGTTACTTTTTCTGATACACCAACTACATCACGTCAATTGTAAATTAATGATTCTGCATAAATGTGACTGATAATGTGACAAGAACTGATCTTTTGCAAGAGTCAAATGAAATATTTGAACTTCCATATAAAGACTTCAATTTGTTTAGGAATGCACGAAAATTGTTTGAAAAACAATTTACAAATGATAGCTTTGGCAATGTATGTTTTGTGTGTGATCGACTTTGGTTTCAAAGTGACTTAAAAATATTAAATGAAGCTCAAAAACAAATTCTTAATAATGGTTTTCTGAATATTGATTCGAATAATCAGGTTGGATGTCAAACTTGTCGAAAGGCATTAAATTCAGGTAAAATTCCCACTTTGTGTAAATTTAACGGGTTTGTATTTCCACCTATACCAAATTATCTGCTTAAACTAGATACTGTATCTCAATGTTTAATTTCACCTAGGCTATGTTTCATGCATATTAGACGATTGCGACATGCAAATGGGCAACTTGGAATATTTGGCCAAATTATAAATGTGCCTGTTGACGTTACAAATATGGTTAATTTATTACCTCGTAATATTGATGATGATCATTGCATTAACGTTCACATAGATCAAGCTATGTGCAGGGTTTGATAAATAGTTACAAACAAATATAAAAGTATGGCTTCAATTTGTTAGGCAAGACGGATATTACAGCTGTTCAAATAATGAGATTATATCGCCAGCGAAAAAGTAAAAAAATACAAACAGTAAATGAATGTATGTTAATTTTAATTACATGAAGTTCTTCAAACACAATTATTACATGATGAGTGAAGTTGCGAAAACAATATTTGTTTAGGAGTTATTTAACATAATCCACTGTGTGAAAGAATATTATAGAATTTATTAATCAGCAACTACTTCATTTCTCTAATGAAGGTTCGAGTCCTAAATGCTAATTACAATGACAAACCGATCATGTCATATTTCAAGTATGACTTTAATTACATTATTGTTTTCAAACATTATAAATATTATTAATGGTATTAAAAATATATAATTTATAATTTATCAATATATAAATGTGTATAATGTTTGACACTAATAAATGTGTGCATCACGAGTGTTACCATATTACTAATAAACATTATTCAAAATTGTTATATGATGTATTTATTTTTACTTAACTTAAATTTGCTACTTTGTACAGTAGCAAATAAGTTTTACTTCAATCGCGTGTGATCCTTACGCGCACTCTTTTTTTAATTGTTTTTCTTATTCATAAACAAGCCGTAATCAATAATAATAAATATTATTTCAGACTTTTGTCTTCTATCCCTTACCTCATGGTGGCGCTATGCGCCATATGATGTCCCTGCCGACTCGTAACGAATCCTGCGCCGGTGCTCCACTGCTCCTGCGCGGCGCAGGCGTGCACCGAATGCCTCGTGAATTCTCCGACGCCTCCTCCGCCGATGATGTACTGCGCCGAGCAGGCCGATGAGGACGTCGTGCAGGCCGACATCGTCATACCGGCGCCTCCTGGTCTCGAACAGTTTCCGAACATCTCCATGTATGCCATTACTGTGGAAAGGTCACGAGGTGAAGGAGGAAAGAAATAGAATGCAATTAGTAAGGGTTGATTTTGACAAAAAATTGTAATTTTATTGAATTGAGAAAAAATGTAATTTTAGAGTTTTGTTTCAACATATTTTGTAAATAATTTAAAAAATATAAATAAAATCAATCTCAATATGTAGGATCTTTTATGCACTATTTTATCAAATGTTGTTTAAGTAAAGGACGTTTTGAGACTATGGTTTGTGCCATCATATCAGCAAATTTATATAGAGCAATTCTGCCTCATAACAATTAGTTGTCATGGCGACGCTATCTTATGCTTGTTTATTGGTAGAGAAAACTGTGAAAATGTTTATCTATTTGCCTTACAATCAGGCGTATTTTACATATAAACAATGCAAGGAATAATCTTATAATAACTGGATCGTCAAAGATTCTTTTACCATAACATTCTTCCTTGCTTGTTTACTTGTAAAAAACGCCTTATAGCACAGCAAAGAGATACACATTTCACAGTTTTCACTACCAATAAACAAGAATAAGTTGGCGTTGCCATGACAACGCTATGCTAAGAGGCAGAATTGCCCATTTAGTAACTAATTTTATTTGCTATGGCGATGAAATCCAGAAACACTTGCCTTATGAAGTTAAGATAGAAGAGAAAAAAATGTATAAAATATTTTCTTTGAGTTTTGATTGAAGCAAGGTGCATTTTCAACATAATATGTATGAACAGAATCCTGCACATTTTATAAATTTATCGTTCGAATTAATTGAAAATATGTTGAGACAAAACAAAAATTACATATATATGATAAAACATACAATTGATGTGCGGAGCTTTACATATTAAACACACACAATTAATTTTTTTCGATATCTAATATCATTTATGATTTTACTGTTCTGAATTAAGTCTCCTTTTAACAAAAAAATAATTTTGACCAAGACTTTTATTCATAAATATTTCCTGCATCTATAAGGTTATGGCATGTCTCCATCTTCAGAAACTATTAAAAATTATTAAATTATATAACAAAAGGTAACTTTTAATTCAGAAAAATAAAATCATGAAGAAATATATATGCAAAAACACGCATGTTCTTCAGAAACATCTAAAAAATAATCCGCTAAAATTTAAAGTCCACCGAGAAGCATTAAAAAAAATAAATAAAAATAATTAGGAAGCAGAATAGAAGTGGTCGGTTGTTGTCTAGAATATCTGGAGTGTTTCTGTACTAAGTGAAAAAATTAATTACCATAAAAAATTCAATGAATTAGCATTTCAATTAAAGGACTAATAAAAAATTTAACAAATAGAAATATTTATAAGGATTTTTCAATCAATCAATCAATTAATCAATATAACAGGCGATCCGCGCGCCTCTTTAGTCTTCTTTTAGAACTAATACTGCAATTTAGCATAGACACGAACCTTATCGTCGTTAACATTCCATGAATTGAACCTGATTTATTTAAAAATATTTTAACAACAATAAAATGGCCAAACCAATTATTTCTTATTTAGTATTTCTCAATTAAATTGTATAAATAAATAAATAAGTTTGTTTTAATTATTAACACCAAATTGACCGTGTCAAATTCATTTTTGTGATTTAGTTGAAAATATATTTTACAGCCGTATATTTTGTTATCATTAATCAAGTTTATCTTTTCTATATAAAACTTATCTAAAATTAAAACCAAAGGGTAGATTTACGTGCTACAGTAGGTGGCGCCCCTATGGAGAGAGGAAACAATTAAAATTGAACAATGTAGTTTATGTTTCAATTATCTTTCCGATTAATATTTGTCCTCCTGTTTACTACCAACCGACCTCAACCAAAATCAAATAAATAAATTGCTAAAAGCTGCAGCTTTATATCTATTTCGAAAGAAGGAAAGATTTGAGAAAAAAAAAGTGAATTGATTCGATTTCAATTCGATTTAGCGACTTACCAGAATAAGCCACTGTATGGAACACTAAATTGGGGAGGAAGGAACACAACATTTATTATAAACAATTCAAATTCAACAAATCATTTGTTGTTTCATATTGTTTTCGTAGTGTTGCTTTAATAATGTGACTGAGATAATGATATAGAGATAATGGATAAATGATTAATAATATAATATATATATTATATATATATATATATATATATATATATATTAATTTTTAATACTAATATATGAAGATAAATATTAATAATTCTTAATATCAAATTAGAAGTAAAGTTATCTCAGAACATTTTCAGAATATCAATAACTTTATCTACGACCAGTTATTATATCAAGATACAACCATTTATTTAAATCCATTAACTTTTTATCTTCAATCTACCACTTTATCCATTATCTCCTTTTCTCATATATCGACATGCATCAAATTCTTCAAATATCGATTCCCTGATCAAGCTTTTGTTATAATTATCGATCCAATTATAAACCTGTACTATCTGGACTGTTTTCATCATAAAACATAATAAATGTGATAGATTTGTGTTAATAAATGTACTAAATAATTGAAAAATAATCCTAAAAATGAAGTATGCTGGTTATCGATACAAGATGTAAAAGAAGTTAGTAAAATATTGGATTTAATTCAGACTTCTATGATTTAAAAGTATTAAAAAAAGTATCTTTATGCTTTTCTTATACAAAAAGTATATCAATTACTTTGGCAGTCCAGGTAGTACTTATAGGTTCCTTTTCTTTCAAGCAATTTTGAAGCATAAAGCTTACAATACTCAAATGTAGTAATGTTTATGTTTATGTTAATGTAAATATGTTAATACACAAATTTATTTAACTTACTGTGTTTTTTCTTCAGTGGTAACGGTGGTGGTTCTGCTGAATCTAAAGATGAGTGTTCTTTGGGTCGTCTCTCAAATGTTTCTTCGGACGAAGACAGATTGCTCAATAGACTAGAATAATAAATAATATTAAAATAAGTATATAGTAAATATTGCATAATATGATAGACTAACCTTTCATTATTTTGGTATTCATCTTCGTCCAAAAGATTGTCATAGGTCGAATGGTGTCTTTCTCTTTTTTGTCGACTCTTTATTGTTTTTTCTGGTAATACAGGTGGAAGATTGTCATCTGGATAAAAAACAAACAAATATATATATATATATATATATATATATATATATATTTTCGCATATAATAATTGTTCGACGTTGACACATGTTTTGATATTTTTTATAAAATAATTACATATACATTACAAATAAAGAAATTAAAAAAATATATAAACTAACAATATTAACTGAAACATGTTTTGCTTTTGATACACAACTTCTTATTTAAAGAATGAGAATTTAAGTGTTTGAATTTATTTAAAAAAAGATTTGCATCAAAAAATTTTGGTATAAATTTGAATTTTCTACAACGCAACAAAAAGTTTCGTTTGTTTATCAAATTTACAAGTTTTAAATTTAAAGAAGAGTAAGAACTAAATTTTACCCTGATGTGGTATCCACAATGCAATTCTAAAATCAAAAGCAAAACATGTTTCAGTTAATATTATTAGCTTATATAAATATTTTTATTTTTTTCTTCGCAATGTATATGTAATTATTTTATAAAATAATGTTTGTTTTGTTTTTTCCTGGTGTGATACTGTTAACAAAGAATTGCTAAATGATGACACACAATCCGTGTCGAAACTTATATTTTAAATAAATATTTTGTATTTATTTGTTTCTTTCATTTCGACGACTGGCTGAAAATCACATCAAGATATATGTTTATATATATATATATATATATATATATATATATATACTAGCTGACCCGGTAAACGTTGTTTTGCCATTGTTTGCCAATGTTTCTAGTATCAAATGTTTAGTACGAAAATAACTAACTGATTGCAAATGTGGTGCACAAGTGAAAGGAGCAGCTAACAAAACCCATATGAATAGTTTTCCCACTGCAAAGCACGCTACATATAAATGTCTCTTAATAGTCTTTGCAAGTTTCAACTTAATCCGGAACTGATTCTAATTAAATTGAATTGGCACATTTGAAGTTTCAAAATTTTGATATATCATTACCGCGCTTTTGCATTAATTTGGTAATTTTTGAATTACGAATCAAAATCCAATAATTCATTTTTAAACTATATTGTTATGTGGCATGTCCACGAGATCGAAAAAAATTGAGATATTGGAAAATTTGCCACAGATTTGTATGGTACCTATAGTTCCCTATCAAAAATTGTTATATCTTCAGATTTTAATATTCAATCTCTCTATTTTTTTTGCAAAAATTGCTCTTTATGCAAACCATTTATCAACTAAATACTGTTTGTGCGCATGAGGAAATATTTGCATAATGGCATAATGAGAGAGGCAAACAACCCTTGATAAAAATGATTTTTTTTAAAACTAAAATTAATGCTTCATCACAACATCAGAAAAATATCATTTAAAATTCAGTAAACAAAACACTCACTGACTGAAAGCGTGGTGAAAAATTATTCGATTACTAAAATGGCAATTTTAAAATAGAGATTTGTGGAAGGAGGGTGAAAATTTAAAGTTGTATGCATTTTTAGTTCCGCATTATGAACATTGAAATTAAAAGAAAATTGATTGCAAAATTAAAAATGAAAGTTAGGCGTAGACAACCCTTGATAAAAATAGGTAGTTTTTTTTTAATTAACTCGAGTTCCATGAATTTTTAATTCCTAATTCTTGAAAATTTGGGGCAATTGTGTTATTGTTTTTGATTGTGGTCCTAGAAATGTTATTAACGGTTACGATTCCAAAGTTTAAAAGAATAAAATTAGTAAAAATTAACCAAAATTAATCAAATCAAATTAATCAAAAGCTCATAAGTTTCAAAAAACGTGAGATAATTTTTTCCAAGATAAAATCAATACTATGGCCCTGTTTCGGCCCGACGTTGAGTTCTGGGATACCCTGTATATATCATAGATATAAAATTGTTCTGTACGGGTGTATGATTTGATACTTCTCCTAAACGGTTATTCGGATTTTGATAAATCTTTTTAGAGTTTGTCAAAAGATTTTTTTAAGATTTAACGAACTATAAAACTATAGTAATATTGTAGAAATAAATGGCAAAAATCACAAAAAACTACTTATCATTGTTTGAGATTGAAAACATATGAACTGTCATCTGCTAGAAATCTCAATTCACTTGAAATTTGAATTTAGCTGCAATTATAACCCTAGATAATATTAGAATATAACATACAAGAAAAATGTAATGTCTACATTATTATTGCCGAAAAGCAGCCGTGATGCGTCAGAAATTAAAATGACATAACATACAGTCAACAGTATATATTTGGCAGATGAAATTATATAATTCACTTTAATAAATAACGCAACAAGTCCTAAATTGCATATACATTATCTTTTTAAACTTATGCATATCACATTTTGGTTTACTTTACTAAATTATTCAACAATACAAAAAAATATTTCTACATGTTAAAAAAATGATTTAAAATATTGTTTTATGTATCAAAAATTCATTCGTTTGGCATTGGATATGGAATATTTAGCAAGTTGATCTTACATTAGATTGAAGGAAGAGTGCACATATGAACTAGATTTTACAAATTAAATCACCTAAGATTTGAACATAAACAATGATGTTTATTAAATTATTATTAGGGAAAATATACTTTAGAAATTATAATTGCCAAACAGCAACTGATATGAAAATTATAGACTAAATTATTGAATCAATTATGTTGTGTTGTAAAATCAAGTGTGATATTGTTCTTTTACCAGAGATACTATATTATTTTATTTTGAATTTCTTATACTGCTTATGTCAAGACCATAAATGAATCACAAAGGCAGGACATCAAAAAGGATATTAAAAATTATATGAAAGGATATTAAAAAAATTGTAACTTTTGAATTATAGACTTGGGTACAGAACAACATTTGTCGGGTCATCTAGTATAAATCTATATATATATATATATATATATATATAAGTATATCTATCATTTATCATCTTACCTCCCACAGTGCTAAAATTATCACAAACATCCGAACTCATATTAAATTCATCAGTCTGCACAAGCTGCCCCGACTTGACCACACTTTTAGTAACAACCGTCTTCTTCTCATTTGAAAACTGTTCAAAACTGCTCTGCACATTCATCCCAGTCTTCTCCTTACCACTCCTCCTACTGACAACCTGACTAGCCTCACTAGTCGACTTATTAAATCCTTCCAAATTATTGGAATTCATCATATTCGAGAAAGCGTTTGCCATCATGTTGATATTCATTTTCATGACATCATTATCGTGTGATGTGACTGAGTTGTATGATGATGAGGATGTTGCTTCTTTGGTGAAGAATGATGATGAGCTCGTCTGGACCATGTTGTCAGAGATGGTTCTGGTGGAGTGGTTTTGGCTGATGCCGTTGCTCGAGGTGAAGCCTGTGTAGCTCTGCTGGGATGAACGCTTGGTGAAGGACTGGCAGCTGCTTCGGAGAGACTGCATGCTGGCAAATCCTGGATAAAAGATAAAGGAAACTTAATTGAGAATAATACGAGAGACACCAGCAAGCTGAATAAGAATTTGTTATACAAAATATACTAAAGCTTGATAACAACTTTGTAACGTAATAACAACATTGATGTTACGTAACATATTTTTTTATTTATACATGAATACGTTGGACACATGAATGGTTGCGTTTTTGCAACGTTTATATTTTGCGGAATAAACGTTGATGTGTTTTTCACCCTAAGAAAAAACTTTTTGTAAACGCAACTAATATTTTAATTAAATGTTTATTGAACTAAATTTTTCCAATTATTCCAAGTAACTAGTGATGTATGGAATCGTGCCTTAAGGCAAATTGCTGGAACTTCCTGTACCGTAATGAAATGTTTGAGGAATATTAAATGTTTTCAAATAGATTATTAAAAATAAATACTGTAACATTGTCTAATATTTATAAGAATTATATAAACTGAATTGCAAAGTTGAAAATATTTGTTTAAAGTATATTAGAACTTTAGTCAAAATTAAAAATAAAGTCTGAATTATTTTCGATATACAAAAAAATTTTTTTAGAAAAAAAAAAAAATGAAATAAAATTATTGTTGTACTTGTAAAATTCTTGATGAATGGTATGTAATAAAAAAAATTAAGAATTAGTGGTGTATGGCAAGAATTAAAATTAAAATCTGAATTATTTTCGATAAACAAAAATAATTTTTTCTTTGAAAAAAAAAAATTAGAATATTTTTTTTCTAAAAGCAATCATTTTGTCAACACAAGCAAAAAGTTTTTTGAATCATTCAAATCGGACGCTTAGTTCTCTCAAAAACTGGCATTTTTTCATATTTTGCTCCGTATCTCCAAAACATCTGGACCTGCCTTTGCCAAAAACTAATGACCACTTCTACCCATCATTACAAATTGAATGTTTTTTGAATCAATCAAATCGGACGCTCCGTTCTCTCAAAAACTCGATTTCTAATTTCTGTACTCTTTGCTGCGTAACTCCATAACGAGTGGACCTGCCTTTGCCAAAAACTAATCACATCTCCCTATCAATAGGAATCGAATGTTTTTGAACCATTACAATCGGTCGATCCGTGCGCCCGAAAACGTTGATGAAAAACCGTGTGTATCCTCACATACATATATACACACACATTCATTTTTTCTGAGGTATGCCCTTCCAAATGTTCAGAAACCTTCAACACGTCGAGAAATGCAAAAATTTTCATTTTCGATTTTCGGCCCATTACTATAACTTACCCTACGGGAAGTTAATTGAATGTTTATTGAACTAATATTTTCCAATGATATAATAATTGTAAAAATGAATTTATAGGTTAGTTCATGTCACCTGCCCTCAGGTAAAATGGCATTTACACCTAGTTTCACATAAGATAAAATTTTAAAGTTATAAATACTATTTTACTTTCATTATTCGTATTTTACAGACAAAATATAAGAGCTTATAAATTAGACGACAACGTTTCTATATGTTTACATGAAAAGTAATAAACAAAACTTGATCAAGCGGAGTTAGGTTTAAAGGGCCTTATCTCATATTTCCAAGAATTGATGTGAATTAAATTTATTGAGAAAATTATTTTATCGGACGTTAAGAGACTAATCTTAATTTGAGAAAAGATCTATTGTTATTAACAATGTTGTTATTAAAAATAATGCCATTTGTCGGTCAAAAATGAACATTAGACGTATGTACATCGCATTATCAGATATTTCATAAAGATTATAATAGTAAGTACAAACTTTCTGTACATTTATATGGGTTCGGTGCCAATGTTTACACGTTAGACGACTACGCGGCGCCTACGCGCTTTGATATTTCGAAATTAGCCACGCAGCGCGATTGCTTGAAAAAAAAATCTTCAAAATTTTCGAAAAAAAATCAAAATACAAAAAAAAACAATATAAAAAAAAGTTAATTTCTTTCAAAAAATTTAAAATTTCTCAAAAATCTAATTTTTTCAAAATTTTTTTTCATAATTTAGTATTCGGTACGGGAAGTTTCAGCAATTTGCCATAAGGCACGATGCCATGCACCACTAGTTACTATTTATATTATCAATTTGTTTATATAACTACACTTACCGGATTCGTTAGAATGCCTATGTGTATCACTCGGGACTGAAGTATTTAAATTGGCCTCATCCCAGCAATTGTTGCCTGAAAATGAGAAAGAAAATAATTTTAATTTGATTATACAAAATAATCATGCATAATTATAATATTAATACATTTTATATGTTGGGTATTTCAATTACAGAAAAAAATTTTATAAAAAAATAAAAAAATAGAAATCTCTGTATCATATCAAAGATTGTTAAAAAAATAAATTTAAGTTTAACTTTTTCTTTATAAATAATTTACTACTATTTTTTTTAATTATTAGATTAATATATAAAAATATCCTTTATCTTGTTTTTATTTTTTTCTCGTGTTTATTTTCAATCGATAAACGCAGAATGTTTTCCGATTCCAATAAGTTTGTTTTAGCAAAGTCTCATGTTTGTATACGTTTAGATAAACGCATTTTGCAAACATCGAATCGAACACATTCTTTAGCAATTACTTGGTGTGTATTTATATATATAATCTTGTTATTTGCAAAGTCTGGAATTTCATAAACATTAAACGGTAAACGATTGTAAAAATCATGTAAAAATATTGATAGAAAGTGAATAAAGCTTAAAGAATTGATAACAACTTTGCAATGAAAAAAACAACGTTATCGTTACGTAACAACACGTTATGTGAATACGTAACGGTTGCGTTCTTGCAACGTTTACATTTTACAAAATGAACATTGATGTGTCTTTAAACTTAAGAAAAAACCTTTTGTGAATGTAGCAACTAATATTTTATTTGAATGTTTATTAACCTAATTTACACACTGTTTACCTAATGTATGAAAGAAAAAAATTAATACTGTCGAGATTTTTTTTAACAACTTGCACTTCATCTATTCATGGAGTATAATATATTCGAGATAGCCTATATATTTATTTTAACTGTTGTTTTTATAGTAAACTTTTTTATCATTCATAACAAACAAAAACAAATAATCTATGTTAAAAATAACATACGTAATATACGTAACAACCACGTTTCGAAGACGTAACAGTTAGCTTTTCAACGAAATAAAAGTTTCCTCTGTGTTGCGTGAATGTAACTTCTGTTTAAAAATTGCTGAATAAAAAAATAAAAAAATGTGTACATTTTATATATGTGTATATATTATATTTTTGAAATTATTAAATATTTTCGTTAGTTTCGACACAAAAGAGCGAAGACGAAATATTACAAATAAAAATTGACGTATATGTATGTGCATATATCATCAAAATTTTTAAATACTATGTACGTTTCGACACTAATATGTGTCATCATTTAGCAGTTCAGAACGAAAAAGCACACAAGCACACAAAACATTATAAACAAGAATTAAAATTTTTAAATTAAAATAAATCATTTTTACTAATACATAGATATAACTTATATTTATTCTTTATTCATTAATACAATCTCGAATTTGTATGATAAATCTATGAAACACGCGCCACGTAGCTGCTACGTAACAAATACACCCCAATGTGGAGTAAGAAAATTGTTTATCAAACAGATTTATATGAATATATTACTTGCCAAAACAGTTTTTCATATAAGACCCTTAAATCCTATTTTTCCCTTGCACACTTTCTGGATAAATTGGCAAATATTTATATTTTGTATTAGAAAACACAAAACTATAAAAACACATTCAACAATTAATAAATATACAAATTTCGATCGTTATATGACGTTTGTACACTTTTAGATAAAACTTGTAAAATATTTATGAACTTTTTCATTAGACTCACAACTTTTAGATCACTTCAACAAAAACATTTAAATATCAGTAACTAATAATTTAAAATCATTAAGTATTAAATAAAAATAATTAAAAAATAAACAATATTCAAATCAGACTTAAACGTTCTGTTTTCGAATTTTTTTTATACCGAATGCATCTATTTCGTGAGACGTCTTTGATGAACTAACCAGCTTAACTAATTTCGTGTAGAAATAAGCAAAGTTATATATAAATATATATGTATATGTACATACATATATACATATATGTATATATGTATATATAAATATATAAAAGTGAAGCAGCAAACGGTCTCGGCGAATAAAATGCTCGCTAATCACTCAAAAACATTTCAAAAGTTTTGGCAGAGATTCAGAAAAACAAATAGTATTTTATAATGGACACACAAACATACCAAAGTACATATATACATAATTATATATATATATATATATATATATATATATATATATATATATATACAAATATATAAACATTAAAATCATATCTAAACATATCATATCTCATCATATATTACAAACATTCTCAACGTGCTGCTATTTTAATCGAAGTCTCAGCGAATTAAAATAAAATTATTTTAATTGCTTAATTAATTTTTAATTAAAATTAATTAATGAGTTAATAAATAGTGATAAGCAATATCGATCTACAAGTTTGTTCCTCAATTTTTTTTTAAAAAAAATTCTAAGTTTTATAAACGATTATTTTATTTTTTTTCTCGACCTAATTATGATAAGGAAAAGTAATTAAAAACTAAGACAGCATGACATCATGCCGTAAAGAAAGTTACTGGAACTTCCCGAACAGTAATTTAAAACTTTTAAAAGCTCAGAAAAGGAAACTAGATTTTTTCGAGAATTTTGATTTTTTCTGAACATTTTTGAAAATTACGTAAACATTCAAAAAAATTGAGTACTGAAAATTTCCTTTTTCGAAACTACTAATATTTTGTGAAAACTTTGAATTTTTTTCTCTGAAAATATTGAAAATTTCTTGAAATTTTTTTGATAACCATTTTTATCGGTTGATTCAAATTAACAAATATCTGATTTTCGATCGCCAAACGGCATTTAAAAAAAAAATCTATATCTCAAAAACCGCTAGACCTGCCTTTGCAAAAACTTAATCAATTGTTCAATACAAATGGAATATTTTTATTCAACATTCAAATCGGTTCTCTTAAAAACTTAATTTCCATTTTCTGCAATCTTTGCAGAAACGGCTAGACCTGCTCTTGGCAGAAACTAATTGGCACAAAAATTTGTATCCGCACATACATACATATTACACACACAGATCAATTTTTTTAAGGTATGCCAGAATGTTCAGAAACCTTCAAAACGTGAAGATATGCAAAAAAATTCGTTTTCGATTTTTGGACGATTACAATAACTTACGCTAAATTAATAATTAAAAAAAATGATAACAAGGTTAAATATTAAAACATAAATAAAATTTACAAATATTACTTAAAGTTTGATATCTGTCAAAAAGTAAGTAAACACTTACGTTACTTTTATTGACACTAAAAGAATTGGAATAATAAAACAAGATTCCACAAATCTTCTCTTTTTTTTTCTTTTTATAGAACGATAGGATGATTTATTAAAAGCGTCTATAAAATTAATCATATGTTCAGAAAATATGGTTTTGAATTATTATGAATTTTTTGAAGAACATGTTTATTAATTCGTTTAAAAATATATCATTTTTTTGTTATTTTTTATGGATTTTATATCAATTTTCTATATTGATCATCGATGTTAATTAAATTTTTTACCTTCATTATAAATTTCAGATCAATTTTTAATTTTCATTATCGATTTTGAGTCAAATTTCTAGTATCATTGTCGATTTTAGACCAAATTTCAATTAAGGACATAGATTTTAGATAAATTTTCTATTTACTTATTGATGTTAAATCAAGTCTCTATTTTTATTATATTAAAGTGTATAATAAATAATCACGGAAAATAATTTGAACTTGACGAAAAATAATTTACATACCTTTTTGAGTAATAAGTTAGTTTCAGATAGCAATTAGTAAAAATAATATTTTCATTTCTAATAATCTTAAAGTCTAAAAAACTAATAGAATTATCAATCTATAGTTCATAAGTAAACTGTCATTATTAGAAGAGTTAAAAAATAGAATGACAAATTGAACAAAGTTTAATTGGCAAAATAAACCCATAACACGCTTGCAAAATAAAAAAGCGACATTTTACCTGCCATAAATTCTCAACAAGCACACACCAATAAAACAAATTAAATTGGAATTATTTGAATTCATAAACACTCCACTAGCACAAACTAAAATATATCAACTTCTCTCACTAAAATCATTACAACGACTGAAAACTCTCCGGAGTCCCTACAAATAATCTGCTCTTTCCGGCCATGATGATTTTTTTTCTCGTTAAACAAACACAAATGTATAAATGTACAATTGTTGCGATAATAAAACGAGATATATATGAATTGTTCGCGTAACCATTTATGGATAATTCCATATATGTAAAATGTCTCAATACTACGAATTAAAGGCTGCGGCCAATGTCAGCATCTGTTGAACTTGGACAACAAGTTTTAGCCCACGCAAATAAAATTATGAATTACAAAGAACCATATGATATCGAAATGTGCGGAAATTACGGACATTGATAATGAAAGTGAAATAATAGTAGTTGTATTGAATATGTAATGTAACAGTAGTAGGACAAAATGGTACTCACAAGATATTTTATGATTACATACCTGGTTTATGTTTAAAATCGTACTTTATTTAAAATAATAACACTAATCACACACACACACACACACATTTTATAAGTTTATCTTAATAACTCTAAATTGTGCAATTATTATTAAGTTTAAGCATTATGAATTTAAAAACGTCCATTACGTCCGGTTGACAGCGCGTTTAAAGTGAAAAACTTCAGGCTTGTTTAGTTATTAGCATCTATCTCTTTCTTTCACCATATGTTAGAGGGAGAAAGGAATATGTTCTACAACAATCGGGCAATACTAATTTTTTGGGGAAATTTAAATATAATAATTTTAACAAAGAACTTCAGAAATTTATAAAATTTCAATAATTAGTATCAAAAATGTTCATTAATATGATTTTTTGGATATAATTAACTGTATTGATTTATGTGTTGGTTCATATATATATCTAAAAAAATCTGTTCACACACACACACACACACACACATACTTTTTCCAAATTTGGTCTCATTCGATTCAGAATGGCTTGAAACGTCGAGAAAACATAAAATTAGCAAATCGG